TGCTACTATGATTGTGGCTGATAGCAGAGCTGAAACCCTACAACTACAAAGGTTTGCGCACCTAAACGGTCTTCCAAATTTCTGATTCATTCGCTGTTTTGTTCGTTCCCGAAATAGCTCCAGAGTCATGACCGCAGATGTTGCATCTCGCCGCAGCTCACTGTGGAACTCACGCACGATCTAAAAATGCATTGAATAAATTCAAATTCAAAAAAAGACTTCCTTCTGTACACAAGCAAACCTTGAGCATCGCTATATATGAAGAAGGTATTTGTTGATCGAGTGCCCGCTCTTTGCCGATTCTTACCTCCCAGGCCGAGCTATAGATCACGTTGAGAAGATTCTAAAACAATGCCTTACAAACAGATTTAGAAGCTCCTATTTCGCTCACCTTCACATCACTTCTTGATTTACTGGTAATAAAAAGCAAATCGAGTATTCTTGGTAAACCATGTTTATCTCCGTCATTCACCATGAATCGGGATCGTACCTATAACTTGCAAGATGGCAATAAAGAGATGAAACCATGCTTTCGCACATCTCGTTCAACGTTCACTATAGACGGCGATTGTGATTAATATTTTGTAAGGTATTTGCTTTACTTCGCGAAATACCTATTAAAGAACAAGTCGATAGCAGGCGCTTACCTTATTCTCAACTTCATCTAAGAAACCTTTAGGAAATTTCGAGGGGTTTGAAGAGACTTGATCAACGTGTGTTCCTACCAGAATCACACACGAATTTGGTGCTCGCGCCTAAAATATAGCTAGAGAAGGAACGTAGCTAATCAGATTGCTTACTTGTTCTCCAAGCCGCAAGAAAACAAGTTATAAGATATGGACTATCAGAATTCAAACCTGAATGTTTATAAGCCAGCGCTGAACATCGTGTAGTGCTACTTCCCCATCAGTAACTCGCCACACTACGACGTATAAGGTTCGTCGAGTTAAGAAATAATGATGAGTTGCGTGGTACTCCCTCTGTAATCAGCGCTGCCTTTTCGCTATTCATGTCCCTAACATAGAATGTTACCTGTCCTGTGAAGTCCCAGGAAGAGAAAGCAACGGGACCCAAAGGGGCTTCTCCCTTAATCTTTTTTGCTTCAAATTTCCATTCAGCAA